AGAAAAGTAGCAAACTAAAAAGAAATTCAATATTTCATATCAAAATAAATAAGACAAATTTTATTGCAAATTATTGTAACAAAATTATTTATTTCAAGTGTCACAGGGACAATTATATTTTCATTCGTTTTTTTTTCATCTTGTCTTGAGTAAGACAGCGTTTACACTTTCGGATTTTTTAATATTGTACCGTATTTATCTAAACATGTAGTATTTTTTTTTGATTGTACAAAAATTGAAAATTAAATTAAACAATTTCAGTTTATAGTTACTGAAACAATCGGTACGATATAATGTATCTATATATGAAATTCCATTTAAGTATTTCTTTTTTTAGATTTATATGTTAGTATTTTTTGACCGACGAAAAGTTTCATGGATTAATTTCTTTTGTAATACCACTCTCTCTCTAATTATTATAATAATAAAAACCACTAATCAGTAATAATAAAAAACTGATCATTTTCCTTCTTATTAATTCAATCATTAAGATATTTACCCTATAATTTTTACAAGGACAGAAATTATACGTGAACATGAACAAATATACATGTATAATAAAATGAATAAGAAGTATCGTAGAGTAGGGACTCAATACTTGAACCCAGCTGATTGTATTTTTTTTTGTAATTTGCATTTTGCCCGCATTTAGTTTTTATCCATGTCGATGCAAGTCCTCGAATTCTACGTGAGTCGCCTATACATTTGATCATGGCGCTTTACGATGTCCTCGAGGGATAAGTATAGTAATCGAGTGACCGTGCGATAAAAGGATAACGTGCTTTATACGTTTCGAACGTGCTTCGCATCGAATTTGCTAATTAATAAGCACTATGCGAACTTGCAGAAAACTTCGTCATCGTGTCAGTTGGTGCACGCGCGTTTTAGCTACACGTCAAGTTTCTTTGTTTTAAGAAGTACATTCTGCCGTATAATAGCAGAAGGAATATCTAAACTTCTGCGAAAAAAAATGTCCCTCGAAATATGAATTTTCTGGCATGCATCTTGCCGAGCTCCGAATACATTCCCATGAAATGCAATTTAACAAAGGAAAAAATTAAATAATTGCTTTACAAGTGAACTGTAAATCCTTTGATCAATTTTGCGTTGATTGTCCTTAATAAGAATTTATTTTGACGCTGCTCTCCTTTCTCTTTTGTTAGAACTACATCGAAACGAAATTAAAACCATAAAAATTTAAAATTAAAATAGAGAACATTCTCGTTCTCTATTTACCTTATCAACTTTTTTTAATTTGCCACTTTGATATTTTTTGTAAAAGGAAAAACTGTACGAGATCTGAAAAATATGTAAGGTTAAAATATTACATATTTTTCGACGAACAATAACACTGTGCGATGTGCAATGGAAATTTAGAAAATAGCTTGAGGATCATACGAAGTATACATTGTGTAAAGCACGAGCGATGAGCTACAAAAAGATGTCCGAGCTGCAACGCTGTCTCGCGCGCTGTTACACGAGGGCGCATCGGATTTCTTGCCTGGCGACGAGTTCGACGTAACGACGTGGATGCAAAAGCGCGTCACGGAAATCGATGGACGCCAGTCCGACAGCGTCGTTTTTCTCGACCGTGGACGGCCGACAGATATTAATTCCCAGCTGCTGTCTTCTCTCGGCCAATCCTAGTTCCCTCCTTTCTAGAAAGTACAGGACTTGTTTCGACCTATTCTGAATTGCTGTTAATTAATTTTGCGAGGGGCACGGAAGACGTGACTCTCCTTCACGAGAGTGTCAGCATTGCCGAAGAGATATGCGGCCAATTCTTTTGACAGCTCTCGTATTATTCTGTCGACGCAGTTGGCATGCCGCGCGAGGGTAAAGGCGCATTGCCGATTATAAAGTCGCAACATTGACAACGAATCCGTAATAGCAGGGCGATTGACGCGTTTTAATTTACTTCGATCAGCGCGGCTCGATAAAACCGTCAAGGCGTCACCCACGCAAAATGGATGGCGGGCGCAAATACCGAAAAAAGAGAATGGACCGCGGGGACAGGAGAGAACTAACGAATTGACAGCTACGATCAGCTCTCGCGGTGGACGATGACATACGACTCTCAAATGAGCTTTCCGTGACTTGCACGTGAGATTCCATTTATGAAGATCTACACAAAGAGCAAAATATTTCTGAGTAAATTAAAAAAAGCAGCCTGAAAGGAGCAAATATTAGTTGTAACTCTTTTAATGTTAGTTAATTTACTTCACTAACGTAAACTGTAACGCGTTTCCGATGATTTGTTTGATACAAATTAAAATCAAAATTATTCTACATAATAAAATTAAAACAGCAATAAATTAATAATTATAATAAGGGATTATGTGAAATTTTAACAAACTTATAATGTACAAAATATTTCTAGATTCAAAATTATATTGAAGATTCATTAATTGAAAGCAAAATAGATATGGTATGATAAGACTCGAAAATACGTCACGAATAATTAAGGATGTTTTGTACACACATTAGCTAAAAGTATCGGTCAAAAAATCAGTCAAAACAAATCAACTAACAAATTTTGGTGCTATGTATGCTCTGCAATCGATTGCAAAAAAATAAAACAAAAAATTCGGTTTACCATAGTTTATGTAGCGCCATATTTTGTTACAGTTTTAGATATTGTAAATAAACTTAAAGTAAATGAATCTAAATAAATTTTTGCAACAAATATTTATTAATTTTATTAATATACATAAAAAAAATTTGATTCAACTCGCAATGCTATTTTCTTAACAAATTTGCAAATAAGTATTACAAACGCGATTTTATGTAAAAATCAAGGCAAACACAAAAATTAAATAACTTTTAAACTAATAAGAAAATTGTACTCAAATTTGATTTAATCACTTAGATAATAAATGGAACAATCTATAAATTTTTATGTTTTTTTATGCTTTGGCATTGTAAATCTTCAATCCTCTAAAATTGATAAATATTCTATCGAATCCGTTTAACTATATTCTTTATGTTACATCTGCAATTTGAACTATAATTATTATTAAGATAAACTTAGTTATTAAAATAATTTACTCGTACACATTTTTTCTTATACAAATTATATCATTTCGGTTTTTTGAAATTAATTAGATGATTAATTAAATGAGTCTTACAGATTTCGGTGTTAGCTGCGGAGGATTAAGTATTCGTATCTTTTGATATTTTTCCAGCACAATTTTCACACAATACTTGTAAAACGGGATTGATTATACAATGTAAAAGAGAGCAGCGTCTAGAATATAAAAACACATGTTGATAGAAGTTATCTTGCTTGAAAAAGAAACGGTGAGAAATAAAGGTTCTGCCAGCTACCAAAGACAAAATGCCCATTTATCAAAGTATGCTGAATACGGCGTCGTTCTTTTGCGTTGCTAGGGGGTTTAATTCAAACTTATTCAATTAAAGCCGATCGGAGTTAACACGAGGGAATCTCAGAGTCGCACTGAGAAAGCAATAACTCTATATCTGTCGTCTTTATCTTCTTTTCTTTCATCGACTTTTGTTTTTGGCAACAACTAGAAACGTACTTTGGCTCCTTCCATGCTTCTTGTCTATCCTGACTTCTCTGAAGGCGTCTTTTCGGCGGTCGTCCCTTCTCTCCCTTCTTCCCTCACAATCTTATTATTTCTCGTAAACTTTGTAGATCGACATCTGGATATCTACTGTTACAACCGAACTTTTCCATCTCGTGGAATTTTTATGACTTGTGAAGAGTTATATCTGAAATGGCGATTGTCAAGCGACGAAAGATAACAGATCTCTTGAATTACCTCACGTTTGCAACATTTTTCGGTAATATGAAAATAATAATAATAATGTATGTAAATACAATATTTAAAAAAATAATAAAAATTATATATAATGTAAAAAAATTGTTCCAATTATATCATAATGTCTTATTGATGTCTTTTCAACTCAATTTTACAAACAGCTTTGTAAATTTTGAATCGTTCCCGATGTTTGAAAAAATTAATTTTATATTCAATTTAAAAAAAAAATAGAAACAGAAACGCGCTATCTTTTTTCTTCTATCAAACTCTTCAAATTTCAGCAGTCATATTCTCGCGAGCAACAATATAAAACGATTGCACTTCGAGACGATTACGTATCCGTGTTTCAAAACTAGCATTCGGTTTTCTTGATAAGAATTAATCCAGTTTCGTAAAGATTTTCTCGAAAGCTATATGTTTCTACTTCTTCTCCTATCTTTCCCCGTCAGCGGATTTATGTAAGAAATGAACAAGTGCAGGGCGAATGTTTGTTTACCCCGATACGCTTCTTGTATAAAATAACTTTACAGAATAGAACCAGCAACAACGAGTTTTCTCTTCCACACAATGCCTCTCGAATATTCCATGATTTTCAATTCTTCTTTTAATACGGGAGAGCACTTCCGTTTCAGCTGCAGGGCGCCACACCCGTTTGCGATATCGTCATATGAGATCTTCGGGGGGATTAAAGTGCTTCTTGTAATATCATAGATAATGTGTATGTATAATACACTTGTCAGCCGGAAATTCTCGATCGCTCATGGTGCTACGTGCGAAAAATGGAGAGCGTTTTAAAGAATTGTTATTCGGTGTTCTAATATTTTGATATGAACAAACGGCACGTTAGAATATTGCAATATTTGATACCGTACCAAGACATAACAACGTTATTTTTTACAGGAGAGGAGAAGCGATCGATTTTACACGCATTAAAAATATAGGAGGGGGGGGGGGATGGATTGAAAAATTCGGAGTAATATATTTTGTATTTCTCAATCTTCGTGATTCAATTTTAAGCGGATGGAAATCTTTCATGAAAAATATAAACGCATAAAAGATATCCGTTTCTCTCAAATATTCACGTACGAAGTCTCCCCGAAGATCCGGCTAAACTTTCACGGTTTCTACGTCAGAATTGATTCCATTCGTAGTGAACCGATAATACTCGTTGGTTTAATACTCTGACATTCGCTCTGTGTAGAAACTCAATTGTACCTAACAAGGGTATTGCGTCGGAGACCTGGGGCAAAGTTTCGGCGACGAGGTTCAGGAACACCGTCAGCGATAGCAAGATGGTCACTCCTGAAACAGTCGTAGCCCACCTGTGCTCAATGATCCGTTCTCGTTCATCGCGTCCGTTCGTGGACGGCGTCGTCGACGAAGAGAAATCGACCGAGGCTGAACCGCGTCGGGCCAACAGTTTCCACCGGTGAGAACGAGAATTTATCTCTGCAAACGCGATTCGAGCGCAATGGAAATCGTGCGCGGGCACGGAGGTAAAAAGAGAGAGAAAAAAAAGGAGGATATTTTCGACCTGTAGCAGTCGATTGTAAATCGGGAAAAGTTTCGCAACTACGCCTCGCCTCGGTGGAATTGTCGACGGAAATCTCGCGGGAGCAGTACCTCCTTGCCGTTTTATCGGCGATGTTTTCTCGATAATCTCGGAACAAACCGACCACTCTGCTGTCCCGAAGGGTTCAGCTCCGTCCGAAATTCGTTCCGCCTCGCTTTGCTCGACCTCGAACCCGGGTTGAGATCGAGCTACGGGTATCTCGTTAAAGATAAACAGTCCACGGTGTGTACTTACAAGCTTTACAAGCTTACAATGCAAATTCGCGTATACGCATACGAAAGAACGAATTGCAATGACGTGGCGTTGGCATTTAAATGCTAATTGGTTGTTTCCAGCTCGAGAACACACGATACATTTTCAGTTGTGTCAACTAACTTTAATTAGTTCATATCTTGTAAAATTATAACTTTAGATATATAATAGAGTTAAGAAAATGAATTCATTAAGAAGATGATTTAATTACGCATATATGGTACTGTAATAGTACAACCAGGCAACGTATTAAATAAAATGAATACGCTGTCATTAAAAACAGCTGTATTTATATAAATAAAACCATAAAGAATGTTGTTAAAAAAATTAATTCTCCACAATGTAGTTTCTCGCCGAGTTTTTCTCATTGTCGTTGAAATGGCATAACGGAGTGTTGATCAAATTTTGTAAATAAAATAAATTTTAAATTATCTTTATTTTTTTAAAAGAATGAATAAATAGCTTCAGATTGATAATAAAATTTACCTTAGATTGTTTACCTTTTTACAATCTTGTTTTCACAAAAACACAACAAACATTGTTTTTCTCTTCAGTTGACTTGATGGCATGACAAAATTGCGAGTTACACGAATGAATCACAGGAGAATGATAGCATTCAATCAATTTTTATTTATCGACCAAATCGCGGGACTGGAACAGTGGACACTTCCGTTTTGAGGACGATCCACACGAGTATGACCTGTGGGAGGATGGAATTTCGATTTAGCGAACTCCAACGCGCTTGTATCCTACACGGACTCACGTGCCTCGGACGATTTTACCATATCCAGCTAACATCAGGTTGGAACGTTCACCCTCGGAAAATTGTTCTCCATTGTACGAGAATGCGCGATGTCCGACCTCTTCTCCAACGAGTTGTGACAACGCAACTAGTTCTTTGAGCTTCGACTATCGCACGGTTGTCAAACCAATCCAACTGTGAAACCCGCTACGAAAGTAGTGAGTTCATAGGTTGATTGCTACGATTTTTTTATGGTTTCAACTTGTAACGGGAGATTTCGTAAAAATCAAAGAGCGACGAGAATATTTTGGAAAAAAAATCAAATATGGCAGAAAAAAAGTTATGCTTAAAAGTTACGGAAATTTACATTTTAAAGAGTATATGTTGAAAAAAATATTGAAGATTCTCTTGATGATATAGCCCAAAAACTGAAATATTTCAGATTCGATAGAGATATATTCGTATAATAATTCGGACACGAGAAAAAACAGTTTACATAGAACACAGGCCACTTGGGGAAACGAGAAGGTTATTCATTGGCATTGACGTTAAGTTATAAAACGAAAGGAAAACGCGAGGAAATGTTTATTCGGTAGTACTATGATGGACTGCAGTTCCTTTTAGGATAGCGAGTTAGAATGCATTTTTCTTAAACTCGTAAACATACCAAAACACGTGCGTGGAAATGGAAGGGAAATATTTTTGGTTATATTTTTTCGAGCGATTTCATGGTTGAGAATATTATACATATTTCAAGTGGCGATCGTGTATGTATTAGTACAAGAACTTGTTCATATACGAGAATTATATATCATATTCTTTGTAATACAAGCAGCAGTTTTTGCAAACATACATATTCCATTAAATAAAACTCTAACTTTTCTTAGAAGCAGTTTTATGTATGATATAGTGAGTGAAATTTATATCCAAAGAGAATTTGAAAATTGTCTCGAAAAGAGAAAGGAACTCACCATCGACGAAATAACGTGGAAGAGATCTTTATGAAACGAACAACCTTGAGAAGCTATTGTGAAAAGTTAATTGAAACTGAGACATTAAAATTTCGAAGCGACATTCATACTTTCTTCATTCAAAGATAATTATCGTTACTTACTGTAACATATTACAATAAGTAAATATCACAGTAAGTAAGCATTGAACAGTGTTATATCATCTTCTTTTCCTTTTGATCGCGATATCATCATTAATTTTTTGCATTTCGAAAAGAAAATCGAAAAGAATTTTCGCCAAGGAACAAATCGTTTGACGACGATGTCGCGATGTCGATGTGAAATTATTATAAGTCGGAGCATTATGAATTTACTTCGAGAGGCAATTTTTCAGACCGGGCGAGACTCGAGTATGGCAGAAAAATGAAAACGGAAAAGACTGAAGAAAAACGTGAAGTCGTTTCAGCGCTTCATCTTTGCCGTTCGCCTCACTCTTGGAAAGAGGAATAAATTTGGTACCATTCTTTCTCTTTTTCTTCCTTCTAATAAGATCGTATTTAATCAAATCTCTTTTTTTCGTTTCAACTGTCACGAAACTTTTCATCATAATGTCATTTGGTATTGCCGGGCGGCATTATTATAACTTCGCGGGCTATGAATTTATTATGAGAGAGATAATACTACTATGGTATAGACGTACGAAACTTTTTGACATTGAGAGAGACCGAAGATCGAAAACGAAAGAGAAGGTTGAGAGAAAATAAAGTGTCGCACGGTACCCGACGTGAAATTCGTCGGTGGCCGATTTTCTTCTAGCACTCTTGGAATATGGGTGACTCGATACGACAGAAGCAGGGAGGATTCGAAGTGACGGTTATCGCATAAGTTCTGTCGAAGTTTCTTACTGAGGGAAGAGAAAGAGAGAGCAAAGAAGTAAAAGCAAAAATGAAAAGTAGCCGATCGCGTATTGCCAAGTGAAAAAAGTTTTCCCACGTCCGAGATTCAGAATGCCTGGCGACATGTGGAGTGTAACTCGGATAGTGATGTCTATCGATTACTTTCGTCGAACAATTCTCCAAAGTTACGCGAAGAATAACGTAAGAATAACTTGATTCAATTGTTTCTGTCTGTTATTCTGAAATTCTAAAATTTAATTCAGATTGTATAACTACAGATCACGAGGAAGTTTTAAGAATACACACAATAGATAGTAAAAATTGTATTTATTTCATACAGAGATCAGATAATTTTATTAAATTATCATTAAAGAGACAGCATAAACATAAAAATATCACAAAAATGTACTTTTATTGTATTTTTTATATTAATATCAATTTTATTTTATCACGCAATAAAAGCGACGACATGTATTTCAATCTATCAATATTTAATATATTAATATTATTTTAATATTATTTAATTTATTTTCATATGCATTGTGCAATGAATATCACACGATGATTCCATTCTTTATCCGTTAATCGATGAGACTAATAATGCATGATAAAATTAGTGAGAAAAGAGTTTTAAATTCGAGGGGCAGAATATGTTACGGAATTCGATAAAACATGCCGTATGTAGGCGGCAGGAATGTACAACAACGAATGTTATTGATACTAATTGATCGATTAATTAGTTTGTGCATGAGCAAGAGCGATCATAATTAATGCAATCAGAAATCCACGAGCGTTATAATCTATCGAGTGTCTATTAGCTTTGCGTGCGAATCTATTCAGTATCGCTTCATAGAGATTAGAATAGTACGGTGATTATCGATACGAAAGCGAAATAACGCGTGGACAATTAAAAATCATGCACTGTGATATACATCGCGAGCGGTAATTGCCAAATTGACGTACGAGCGACGCCATTTCCTTTTTGCGCGGAAACACGACGTCATTGTTCTGATTCCAATCTCGATCGAAATCGAGCAACGATAAATCCGCTAAACTAGTCACCAGACATCCCATTTTCCAACTTCCAAGCTCTCTTTTTCAAAGCAAAACTTCGCGCCGATACCTTCTCGTTTTTAATCAGAACGTCTTCTTTTTCCGGCAATATCCAATAAAGATAATTTTGAGTGAAATATCGACAGCAAATCGTATTCGATGCAGTTTGGAAATAAATTAATTTCCTGCATTATCGTTGTATTGAATTTTTCCTCAGAAAATATAAAAAAATTAGCAGCATGACAATATTACAAGAAACATATTCTCTATTAAGCATGTCGCGTGATCCTGTGCTAAACTCTTACCGCGTTTCCTATAACTCTATCGAGCGTATCTAAATCGACTTATCGACACCGTCGTATTAATCAAGGCACTAAACCTTGGCCACGTTATACCCTGCTTCTGCAAGACGTAAAATCGTATACCTCCTCTGATTGGTTTCCCAGCGCCGTTAGACTTCGCCGAAGTGCTCGTAAATGATTAAACTACGAGACTCTACATTATTCCGGCGATTAACGAACCAGCCGCCGCCAATTAGGATCGATCGTTCGATGGTGCATTACGAAATCGCGGGTTCACTAGGTTTAACGCTTTCGTTAAAATGAACGAGGCTAGACGGGGATCTATTATTCCGAAGACGAACGAGACGTGCCGAAATCCAGCGTGATGAAAAACGGTAATCCACGTTGTGCCCAAACGTGAGTTGGAAACTGAACGGAGACTTTGCTGATCCCACCGTGCAATCGCGGGCCTAATCTCCGAGCTCCTTCCTATTAATTCAATTAGGCCGTCGCGACGTTTGTGGGATGGCACGTGGTGCGCTGGTACCGAAGTAG